TATAAAATTTGAGTAATTATTAAGTTGAAGTAAATATAAAATTTGATAAATTTGAGTAATTATTCGCAATAGAAATTAAGCTTGAAACAACGAGCTTGATTAACCTTCGAAGACTATTGCGGATGAAATTTTATCTTGAATTTGTAAATGGATGGATCATGGATCACGAACAGATGGATTATTATGGACAAAATTTTATCTCGAATTTCTATGGATTGTTATATAAATGAATTATAGATGGATTATTATGAATGAAATTTCACGTAATTTTATTTTATAATGTTATAGAATTTTGTTGATTGAAAATGAATTGAAGTGAAGATTCATTGACGGCAAATATAAATGTGATTGCAACGATTAAGTCAGTTTAATATATAAATGTATTGCTATTAACCTAATGTTAAGAACCAATTTATCATGATAGAAAAAAGTTCAAGTTTTTTTACATCTGTGGAGAAGATCCTCTTATAGTGAACTCATTAATAATTCTTCATATTTATGTGTGCCGTGTATATCAAAAATTACACACGGAATTTCGCATCTACATATTACTATAGAATTGTTTTCATTTTCTTCAATATTCAAGATAATAAAAAATTGATTAGCAACTCTTTATATCATCGTTATTGCTTTACTATTATATTTCATCAGCATACAAATAAAAAAGGTACTAATTGATTCTAGTTCGAATTTCGTGAATTTTAAACTCGTGTAGAAAGAATATCACATGAAAATTTTAATTATTCGTAGCGATTTATTATAAAATAATTTACTATATTATACATTTTCATTATATGCATTAAAATTCATCATACACTTTTTTTAACTTAAAGTGCTTACGTATAATTATAGTAAATTTGGAAAAAATAAAATATAAATATAATTGCGATAAAATAGAATTTAATGAACAGTATGTACTAACCTAACAGTAATATGCAAAAATTAATTGTTGATACTGCATTTGTTGAATTATACTCCAATATAATTATTATAACATACTACAGGCCACTGAAAAACTGAAAGGTTTGAAAAAGTCATAACTTGTTCGTCTTCAATCTTTTTTATTTTCTTTTTTTTTTTTTTAGTTTTTCACACATAATACTGAAAAAGAAATCCATTAATTATATTTCCAAATAAAGTAATAAAAAATTTAAAGAACGTGTTTGTGAAAGTTATTTCGGTCTTTCAGTGACCACCCTATATGTATTATAATGTAGTAAAATATATATTGTACATAATGTATATATATATATAATATAATGTACTATATATATCATAATATATTATATATTATATATATATCCATATTGTAATATATAATAATATATACTACATGTATATACATGTATAATACATGTATAATACATGATTTGATAAATCAAATTTCTATTTATGTTCCAATAGCTGCGCTCTTCCATTTCTTCAATTACGTTCATAATAACGTAAAAATTTAAAAATACATAAAAAGTCGACAGTCTGACTATTACACGATATCAATCATTTTGATGAGCATTAATCGTAATATTAATTTATTAATTATTTTGAACATTAATTTATTAATTCCTCATCCCTGTTCCCTTAAGATTCACTTCTGTAATATTATTGTTTGCAGAAAATTTTACATATGTAAGTATGTTCTTTACAGTTCAAAGTACTTTGTACAAATTTACAAACAATATTCTACAGAACAATGAAATAGTAAAATCTGAAATTCCTGAATCTGATACAGTTTTTGTAAAACTCAGGAGAACCTGAGGGATTAATTATTCTAAGTATCTTAAGATGAATTACGTTAAACATACTTCGATAACCTGTCGAATATATTAAATCATCATGATGTGTCTAACAAAAATTCAAATGCTCAATTAGATTCTTACGATCACAGCTCACCGTTAGGTGATTAACCATTTGCTAACATGCAAATGGCGACTGGTTCAAAGTGCAAAACGTATCTTGGAACAGCTTTATTTCCACGAATTTCTTTTGTCTCGTTTCCTCTCGTATCCTCGAACGAAACCATCCGAACGGTCACAAACGGTGCTTTGACCTTCTCCAAAATGCTGAAACATCCTGCGTGATAGCTCGTAGCGTGGATCATTGATCAAGTATGTAAGTGCTTAGATAAACGAATCAAGTATGTAAATGCTTAGAATCTCCACAGACTTTTAGTTCAATACATACTTTTATTATATATTTGTTATATTATATTACTTATTATTATTACACTTACATAAAAAATAAAATAACAAAATCTTATAAAACTTCTAATAATTTCTAAATAATTTATATCTTATATTTATATCTTATCTAAATAATTCGAAATAATTTATATATTTATATCTTATCTAAATAAGAGTAATTCTAATAATTTCTAAATAAATAATATTATAAATTTATGATGATAAATGATAATACCTTAATATGGTATTTATTGATATTTATTTTAATAATAACATCTATATAAATAATAAAATTTCGACGCAACTGCCACTGTCAACAAGACCGAATGAAGACTATGGTTTTAAATAGTATATTTTATTAATATATTTATTACTACACTATATTAGTATATTATATTATATTATATTATATTATATCATATCATATTATATTATATCATATTATAATATATTATAGTATATTATTTATATAGTATATTAGAGAGTAATTATAGTATATATTCTTTCTTCTTTAACACAATGTTATTCTGTAGACTATCGGAGAATGGTCAGGATCTGTACGATTGGAAGTCAAACGATTTCTTCGCGGTAAGCGAACTACTCCTTACCGGTGCCACAGTAGTATAAAAATTATGTTTTCTATCGAAATTTTTCTATTTATTTTCAATTATTTCTATCAATCGAAATACTAAAACTTGAGAAATTGAGTTTTGTCCGTAGAAACGCGGTTTCCAGACTACTGTGCGATGTTAGACGAGTTCTTCATTATTCTAAGCAGATGGAAAACTGGGGGAGACTGCGTCGTTTCCCTTTCCATAACCTTCTGGAGATATCTGAGCTTCAAAACAGCAAATCGTTGACATCGTTTGTCAATTCCGCATTTTGTTTAAATATTTTCGGAGACTTCGCCTCATAGCTGATGGTCTTTGCTATTGAAATGGACACAACCAGCAAGGTTGGGCTCTCCCTTCAAAAATAACGCGAGTCCCCCCGTAAATCAGGCCACCACTTGAAATGAAGTTCCCGATGTGTATTATCTCGATTTGTAATCTCTGTTTGCACGCGAAACACGTATTTTACACGTTACTTTATCGCGATACGATTGTATCCTCGAGACGACTAGAAGGAAAGTGAAAGTCTTTCTTGGATCAACCTTGCCTCGGTCTTGATTTCGCGTGTCGAAAGAGTGTGAAAAAGTCCTGAACGGCTGAACTTGGACTTGCTCTCTTTCCAATGTCTTCAAATCTTCTTGAAGAACTTGATCTAACCCTTTATCTCTGGAATTACATTGCCTGCGAATTTTTTTTCGTTTCTTCTGTTATTAAATTGCTGCGCAATTTGATAAGTTTTGGTATACACTGGAATATAATTATTACACGAGTATAGTGAAAGGGGAAATAAATAAACTTAAATTATTATTAACTGTTGTATAATATTATTATTATCATTTTACAGCTTAGTTTACTTAGTAAATAATTTTACTTAGTAATATTATTTCAGCCCTCGCAATTATCGTACAAAAATAAAAGCCCATGACCAAAGTCATAGATCATGATGACCTTATTTTTCTGATAGTACTTATAGGGTTAATACTAAATGAAAAGACTACGACTGCGTCCCTCAAGACGCATTCTTGACCCTTGTCAAAATATAACTTTTCTCAAAATGTAATTTTTTTCATTTTTCGAATATCTAAGTGATATTTTACGGATATACTTATTTTATAGTATATAACAAATTCTCAAAAGTTAGTCGTCTTCGACTACATAGTTTACTCGTTTGCAAAATTTATGATGTTACATAAAGGATCCTGTGAACATTTTTGTCTCATTGTCAATACGAACGCAACATTTCAGATGGTCAAAGTCATAATGTATAGCCATTTGTAAATGGAGACGAAGGTTCTGAGGAGAGGATGAAATGGTTCTGTCATTAGTGTTAAAAAATAAATTTTTATTCAGGAAATGCACATGCTGAAGGAAGGAATTTTATCGAAGAATAAAAATATTTGCCTCGAGCACCAATGGCATATATGATGGAAAGTTTATAAGAAAAAATATTGCGAAATTTGAAAATGATTTATTCGATTTGGATCCAAAATGAAGATTTTCTAGTAGCAATTTCATTGCATACTTTTTTTTTAAAGAAATTGTTAAAATTTTAACTATTTCAACGAAACCAATAAAAACACGAATACTTCTTTGTAAAAAAAAAGAGAACATGTCACGTAACGCAGACATCATCTGTTTGTTCAGCAAAATTCTTACGTCGCTCGAGCTAAATGATCGTTTAAACCTGTTTATAACGATAACTACCGTTAAATGTAGAGTTAGTAGTCGTAAAACGTTCTTCAAGATTATGCAAATGTATAAAATTTATACCATGTAGAAAAACTGTTCCGCAAACTATAGATCAAATTTAGTTCTCTGTAAAAAAAAAAAAAAAAAAAAAAAAAAAAAAGAGAGAAAAAGAACATCAGAAATAAAGAATAAAATTTAAAAAAATTTTTTTGAAACATTCGTCTTCAAGAAAGTCGATCTTTGAAATACACTATATTTCAAAATACGTGTATCTTGTGTATTTTTAAAGATTTAAATGATTATTCGTAAAATGCCTAAATAAAATTTAGTGAACTCTGTTGTACTAACTTTTCTATTTTGTTAATTAATTCCAAAGTTTTTCCATCTTCAAATCACTCACTTTAGTGTCTCCGATGGAAATTTTATGCTTTTAGTCGTCTGTAGCTCTAATATTAAAACAGATTTATTCAAATTAATAAATTATAAATCAGTTAAGAAATGTTGATGTAGATACATTGATATTTGTTGTTTAGATGATTACTCCGACGAAATTGATCGAGAAGCAAGGAGATTGCTGCAAGTTCTCCCAGCTTTCGACCCTGGTGTTGGACGAGTGAGTCTAGAATGCAAGAGGCACACTGAAATTTTTCACCGAGAGCTTGCTAAGTTCACTTTATGGGCCCTCAAAAGTAAGTATAATCATATCATATCTTATTGCAATTAGAAAAATTGTTATATTAATATAAACTTTATTATTATTATTAATTATTATTATATATACCTACATTCAACTTACTCCAAGTGTGTAGATAATCCTACATATTTTACATTTAGTAAAACATTTCGTTTCCAACATTCATTTTATTCTCAACAATTCTAACATCATAGATTATCCAAACAAGAGAATTTTTTTTCAATTGAAGCGTACTTTCACTTGTTCCTTATTGTCATATGTTCAATGAAGATTTAAACGGGAGACGTACCTTCCTTCCAATTTTATTACTTTGTTACATCATTCTACTGGAAACCGCATTACTGGATTTCCATAAATCCTTATATTCACAGATTTCGCAATTCTAATTTTGAAAATATTATCCTCCCTTTATTATCAGTATCATCGAATATTATTTCGATTTTCGTCAGAAACTGGTCATGTTACTTCTTGTTTTCTTCATTTCCAATAATTTTTTTTCTTTTTTCCTTTAAAAAATCAATCACGAAAATACATTTGTCATAACCTTCCCTCGTAACCCTCATTTTCAATAATTTTCAATAATTTTCTTCTTCTTTGAATTTGAATAGGAAACCTACTCGTCTTCTTCTGTAATCTTCATTTCCAATAATTCTCTTCTCCTTTAAATATACATATTAACGTTAGTTAAAGTGAACGAAGATCCATTTGTTACATTCGTTTCATATAATCTCGTGATAAAATTATCGAAAATGGTCGAAATAACTAATTTGTATCTCTTCTTTTTTAGAGTAGTTTAGCAGATTTGCATTTACAATGATTCACAATGATTTCTTGCAAAGTATACGAATGAATAAAAGTATTATAAATTTCTTTCCCATTTGCTTGCACTCTGGTTCCTTTGTTACAATTTTTGTATAATAGCTTTAGTCATCCAGCGTTAAAATGTGTTTAAAAAGTATGAAAGAAAATCTACACGTCGTATTCGTCTTGCGTGATCCGTCGTCCCCAATATTCTTCCTTTTGTTCCAAGTGTACGATGCAACGGCAAAAATACCGTCTGGCCTTCTGAACGGAAATGTAAATCAATTTGGCGACTTCGACGAGTGTGTTGGAATCGAAGGAAGCGACGGGATTCAAGGACAATATTGCTTGGCGTATCTTCAATTGAGCATCGACGAGTCGCGTCTGGATTTGAAGCATCTTCATCGGTTGATACATTCTCATTACGCTTTCAGAAGCAACATTACCGATGTAAGTACGTGTGGTTGTGTCAACCACAACACACAATAATCTTTTTGCCAAAGCGAAAAGCAATAACAATTTTACGATGCTTACGACGTTCGAATTTAACATTGCGGCTTTTGCATTCAAGGATGAATGAACATTAGTGAAAACCAATTATCGTCGTAAAAAATATATAATTATCATTTAAGAATGATTAATTTGTTATTCTCATTAACACCTCGAGTCGATAAAATTGTATTGCCGATGTGAACATCATGTTGTATGTTTTTTTTTTTTTAATTTGAAATTCACATTATAGAAGAATTAAAGAATTACCATAATTATATAAGAGAGTTTTTTTACTACAGAATTATATATATTCTTTAATTATAGAAGAATCATAATTACCTTTCGAATTGCCTCTTATAATTATCATAATTATTATCATAATTATCATAATTATAAAATAATTATTAAAGAATAATTATCATAATTATAAAAGAATTATCATAATTATCTTTTTAATTGCCTCCTTAACTTTGAGTTAAATCAAGTAAAATCTTTTACAAGTATCTCACTACATACATATATAAACATTTAATATTTACAAAAATTATGCGTATAGTTGTTTGTAACGAATAATATTACATACTATATTTAGTAAAATGTATTTAAAAAATAAATGATAATTATAAAAAAGGATAAACATACAAATAATAAATATAAGTATAACATGCAATAAATAAATAAATAATACAATGAAATGTTAATTACAACAATATTAAAATTTTGATTTATTTCAATTTTTAAAAAGCAATTTTATTCGAGCATCAAATTTTTAAAAAAATGTGTAATAAAAAGTAATAATAATTAATTCGAAATAAAAAGTTTAATATAATAATAACAATACATGCACTAAAGGTGCAATCATTAGAAATTAGTTAAAAAAAAAAAATATTGCCTAAACTTACAACTCGTAATTTTGAAATTTTTCAGATTTTTCGTCAACTACAAAAAGAATCTACCATTACTACAAAGTTTATAATACAATACAAGAAATTGGAAATTATAAATATTTAATTAAATATTTAAAAAATTCGTACGGAAAAGTCACACGTATAATGTCAAAAAATGAACTTGTTCGTCTTTGAAATTCATGGCTTACAATTAACGTAATAAACCATTTTTTTCTCATTTATGTAATTCAAGAATATTTCGAATTTCTCATTTCTCTTCATATTCATCTATCTGATCTCATTTTATTCATTCATGATATAATCCATCTTGACACATAAAATTTTAAAACGCTAGAGAATTTAAATTTTGTCCACGATTTTTAAGAATGTCTAAAGTATCGGGCATTAAATTTACCAGTAGCTGCTGCAACGAAAATTTATTTGTACAATTCATATAATAAAATGCATTTTTAAATCATTAACATTTTTCATTCGTTTCTCAGAAACGAAAAAGAAAAAAAAAAAAAAAAAAAAAAAAAAAA